AAAGAAGCCCAGCAAACCCCACGTTGTGAAACCGGAACAGGAGAAAGGATAGTTTGGTCCAGCCCTTGCGGATGCTTCCTGCACGTGAATGTGTGGGCCCTGCAGGCGGACTCCATGATTTCCCTCCCATAGGAACAGTGGCTCCAAATGCTCTATGTAGCTCTCATCACCAATGGGGGCTCTTATCTAGTATGATGCCCCTCCCATGCCCTCCTTCACCCAGCACCAGAACTAGGAGTCAAATAGTGAGCATCAGCCTGAAAGAAAGTAGCTGTTTTCCAGACTCTGTAGAACTGGGTCCTTAATCCAGTTCTAGAAGAACCCAATCCTGAAAGGTGCCAAGTGCCCACTGCTCCCAGCCACCTTGGGGAGAATGATGGACAACTGCAGCGCTTAGGGTGAGGCCTAACTTTGGAAGAATGGGCTTTTGGGATGAAATGTTTGCTAGTGACAACATGGCAGGAGGCTGAGGAAAGGGGCTGGCCGCCTCCTTCTTGGAAGCTGTAGCTCCCACTAGTGTTAATATGGATTTGTTGAATCCTAGAAAGCAGGAAGCTCTAGACAGGATGCTGGCGAGGTGTTGATGTCTGGGGATGCATTTGTGTTTACTTGTGGAGAGCCAGAGCCTGATTGAACCTATGAAAAACTGAAGATACTCAAGGGAGAACATGGGGCTTCTGAGGAGAGAAGAGTGGTCATGTCTGAAACTTGTTGTAACTGAAGGTCTGTCTCTTTTCCTCTTCCCCAGGCTCCTACTCCCATTACTGACATGGAAATCTCTGTCAAACGAGTGAGTACTGTCTTCTCTTTAGGACAAACATAAGGAAAAATCCAGCCTGGTTAGCAATTGTGCCCAACAAATGCAGACACAATTCAATTGTGCAGAGACTGTGGGACAAGTTGGGGCTGGAATTGTTGACCCTTCTGAAAACCAGCGCAGCATCCTGGGCTGGACTAGAGCCAGCAGAAAGGCTCAGTGCCTGAAGATTGGCAGATGCTTCAGCACTGTGGCAGCTGCAGCTCTGGGGACAACATCCTGTCTACCCAATGGCCAGTGCTGGATGATTTCATACAGAGGGGAGCAGTGGGGTTTGCCCTGCAAGGCCATCTCACAGCCTGATAGTTCTTACCATATGGAAGTTGTCCTGGTATTCTTCCCTGGTAATCTCACTGCTTTCCTTTAGTTAAACCCTCCTTGCCCACCTAGGGAAAGGTCCTCTCCTTCCTGAGTCTCTATTTGTTCTATTTGCTCTAGGAGTTACGTGCAGTGTTCCCTCTAAGCTGCGTGGTGTGCACAGCCCTGCAGGCGTGCTCATGCTATGCAGGTGCACTCAAGCCGTGCTGCCAGGCATGCCTGTGTGGCCACACATGCCACGCAGCTTAGAGGGAACACTGGTTACGAGAGGTGAAAAGGGTGGCTTCCTCCCATGAAGCCAAATCCCAGTGGCTGGTGCTCAGTCCAGGGCCCTTCCGTCACAGCTCTACCAATGTACATTCATCCTTATGCTTGGCATTCCCCATTATTCCAGTCTTGGGGTTCCCCAGCCAGCCTTGTTAGTGCATCACTGTTTTTCCTGGTAGAAAATCCTTCTGAGCTCTCTGAGTCTGGCCCTATGGTTGGTTTCACTGTGGACATCCATCTCCCAGAGACTAAGCTAAGGGAGGTGGTTTCCACTGTGTCCTGAGGCAGGGGCCTGGTGGAGAGGACAATGCTCCAGCCCCATTGCTCGTGTCTGTTGGAGAGGACAATGCTCCAGCCCCATTGCTCTGCTGAGAGCCCTCAGATGGCTAGTGGACCACGAGATGCCTCTGGGGATGTAGTATCTTGGCTGAGCCCTCCTTTCTGGCTACCCGCCTGACCCATCCTGTTTTCTTGTGTTCTGACAGCAAATGCTCTACGTGGGCTCCCGCCTGGGGGTGGCTCAGGTGAAGCTGCACCAGTGCGAGACCTATGGCACAGCCTGTGCTGAGTGCTGCCTGGCACGGGACCCATACTGTGCCTGGGATGGTGTCTCCTGCACCCGCTACCAGCCAGCGGGCAAGCGCCGATTCCGCCGCCAGGATATCCGTAACGGGAACCCTATGCACCAGTGCCTGGATCAGAACCTGACCCGTAAGGCAGCCTGCTGGTTCTGTGTGTACCACATGGGCAGGGAGTCACAAGCACAGGCTGAGAGGGACTGTCCTTTTCCTCTAGCATCCAGGGCTTGTATCCAGAGGGCCTGTGAGCACTCCCAGCTCTCCTGCTCACAGGCACAACTCAGTCCTTGGGTAAACATGGCAATGTCTAGGTGGGGCTGACCCCTCCTGCAGGATCCAGGAGCTATAAGTGTGGCTGAGCAGGTCCTTCCCCCACTCTTGGTGCTGTCCTGAGAGGAGCAGTGCCCACCCATGTCCCTGTGGGATGTGCTGAGCGTGGGTCAAGTGGCCACTGATGAAGCAGGACCTTCTGCACCGAAGGGTTCTTTGATCCCCATGTACCAATGCTATCTCACCACCCAGGGATGTGAAGACTGAGTCCTCTGTCAAGGACATACACTGCCTTAGTCTCATATAGCAAATCTTGGCTTGCCATGGCCAGATGCATCCTGCCAGCAATGTGGGGCTTTCCACATGACCCAGGGTGAAGAAATTTCAGAGCCCAAGGGCCAGAGGCCTTTGTCTGTCCAGAAGCAGGGTTATTCTGAGGGGCTGGGAAGCTTTGCTGGTGGCCCTGGGGTTGAGGCTCCAGATTAATCTCAGGGCTCTAAACAAATGCCTGTATTTTGCCAGTGGATGATTTTGACAGTGCTGAGGAGAAGCTGGTCTATGGGACAGAGCACAACAGCACCTTCCTGGAGTGTGTCCCCAAGTCACCCCAAGCAACCGTGCAGTGGTTCGTGCAGAGGCCCCAGGATGAGCAAAGGGATGAGGTGAGTCCTCCACCCCACATCCCCCATGTCTACTCTGATGCCCTCACACTTACCTTCACCCCCTAACAGGATCTCTTCTACTCTCCTGGACCCATCAGGGTGCCTGCTTTTATCCCAGCTGGTCTTGGGACTGTTTCCTGCCAGCAGCTGCTGAAGAAAGGGGGTGCTTTTGAGAATCCTGCCAGTACATCACGCTGCCCCTTTCCCAAGGCTCCCACTTCAGTGAGCTCCCCATGCACTCTGAAGGCCCAAGGCATGTGACTATGGGATCTCCCCAGCCCTCTCCTACAGTCAGCACTTGGGTCTGGAAGGGGGTGGGATTTTGTCTGGGGGGTCTCTGGGCCATGTATGTCTACACTGGTGTACTGAGCACAGTGTGCTCCAGGCTGTCCCATTCTCCAGCCATGACTGAGCACACACAGGAGAGGCAGGCCAGAGGGGCCTCACTGGTAAAGTGCTGTACACATTCCCCCATCTGGGCTTATGCCATGAGATTACCCAGGAGACAGCACTCCTGGAGGTCATCAGACCTATAAACACCTGACTCCAGGGGGGCTGGAAGGAGGAACAGGAATGAAAGAAGAGTCTGTTCCTTCAGTGTGGGGTGCCCCTGTGCTGGCCCTGCAGGGCTGACAGTTTCTGAGGATCTCTCCACAGGTGCCCTGCCTTCTGGGCAGGTGGTTTTTGAGGCATTTCTTGCTTTGTATGGGGTGAGGTGAAAATGGAGCCAAAGGGGAGGTCTTCCTGAGATTACTCCCCTGACATCTCTGGGGTAACACTAGAGAGGAGTTTGCCCTGTGCTCTCTGGCACTTCTGGCCCAGCCAGCTCATTCCAAGAGCCTCATGCTGCTTCTCCCTGAGTGCTTGGTCCACAGGCTGCACCTTCAAAAGCAGCCTTGGCTCTCCCACTCCTCATGTCTCAGCCTGGCTGCCTCCCTTCCCCTCTCCAAGCCCAACTCTGGATATTCCCAAGATAGACTCAAGATGGAGGAAGGTTCCCACAGCCTGTGTCAAAGTTGTATGAGGGGATATATGAGCCCCTGACCATAAGGTCCTCCCCCATCTAATACACACACACACACATATAGAACCAGGTGGAAAGCTGCCAGTGTTCCTATAATGACGGGGAGGGAA